ACATCATCTAATGTGAGATCATTATTGATTGACATATCCCACGTGATATTTGGAGTTGCAATTTCTTCCGTTGACAACATAGTATACATAATACATATACTATATATAATACGAATATTTAATACGTATAGTGCATATCTAATACATTAGTATCGAGATTCATCTGTATTTTTTTTATTATATTATCTTTATTTAATATGACATACGTGATAGATCTTGAGAAAGAAATACATCATATCCTTCAAACTTCTTCTAAATTACATAACTATAACAGTGAGTTGCAGGATAAATACATAAAGCAAGAAGAGAATTTTGATTAAGAAAGAAAGAGATGGGATCAGAATAGAAAGAAGTGGAATAAAAAACTGAGAGGGGCTAATACTGAAATCCAGAAATTATGTACTCATAATCTCAAACTCATTGATGAAGCTAGGCATTTACAGATTAAAAATGCTAATAAAAATATTTCTCTTGTAAAGTCCAAAGTTGAGAATGATATAAAATCTAAGAAAATTAGATCACTTGAGTCTATGATTAAGATATTGAAAGGTAAGTTGAGTTGTCTTCAGCTCAGAAAGATGTGATTTCAATTCAAAATGACTTAACCAAAAAAGAATCTGAGATAATATCTCTTAAATCTAAAATAGTTGAATTAGAAAATTTAAAGAACGAATTGGAATCAAAAATCAATAAGCTTGAGTATCTGAAATCAGAGGCTATATTGAAACCCATAGTTGGTAGGAATGACGAAAAAAATATTACTAAATCTGATAATATATCTTTGGGTAGTACTGATCTCAGTAAATATTTTGTACACAGAAAAAATATGAATCCAAAAGAAAAAATCAATGGTAAGATTACTGAACTACCAAAAAATGAAACTAGCATTAGTAATATTAGTAAGAATAATATGCCAATAAAACCTAATGTATTACAGATTATATCTGAAAATGTGACACCGCATCTTGCACAAAGAGATAATAATATATCTTCATTGATTGAATTAGAAGCGATGAGACCTAGTCTCAAGGCTTTGCCTCTTCCTGTTGTAGCAAGTACTTTAATGACACCTTTATCAGCATATATGTTACTTACTTTGTTAATTATTGCTGTTATATAGTTCATTATATTGAGACATGAATGGAATATAGGTAGGCTTAAAGAGTAATAAAAAACATGATTGGCCATAGAGTGCATGGACTAGATAACTGAATATTAGAATTTAACTTGAATGTTTTAGTTAATTATACCTTGAAGTATCACTTTTTTTCGAACTTGAAAGAAAAAAGAAAAAAAAGCGCGAGATTATAGATGAAATTGCTTTTCTAGAATACAAGTGAAATTTTGAGACTAAAATGAAAGTTTCTACTACTCCGCACAAAAAAGAATTAAAAAATAAATCTTTAACCCTCATCGAATATGCGTAATTATTATAAATGTTTCAGCAAAGCAAGTAAAGGTGCCAAGACATTATCATTTAGTTAAGTAGTAATTTTTGAAGAAGAGAGATTACTATATTTAGCTAGTTATATATTCAGGTAAAGGATTTTTATCGTCTCTTACAAATAAATATAAAAAAAAATTCAAATAAAAAATTATTTCAATACCTAGATCATATAAGGAGTTTTTGTATTGTATGAATTATATTTATCAAAGCGGGTCCTGATCATCCAATTCACATGTCCACCTATTGGAATATATAAGTGCTTCTGATTTATGAGGTAAGGTATATATTCGATAACCATTTTTGTATTGCACGATGGACTATTACTGAAATTCAGAATATAAGTTTGCATACAGTAGATAAAAAATCGGTATCTGGTCAAGATATAATTATTATAGAAAGTGTAGTTATACTTTGGATAAACACAAAAAGTATACATAATTCGAAGAAAAATCAGTGTCCAGTCAAGGTATAATACAAAGAAAATCAGTGTCCAGTCAAAGTATAATTATTATAGAAAGGGCGGTTAAATATAAAGTATACTATTTTGACTATATAATTCAAAGAAAAATCAGTGTTCACCTAAAGTAAAATTATTATAGATATATATATTATAAAAAATTATGCTTTGGGTGAACACGAAATAAATGATAACAATTCGACATTACGTGCCTCATCCTTGATCGATACTCGAATGCATTATAATAGCTAACAATTCAGCACTACGTATCTCATCATTGGGTGATATTTGAATGAATCATAATAGTTAGCAATTCAGTACTATATGCCTCATCATCAGATGCTTTAGTGTATTATCAGATATGTTAACAATTCAGCACTATGTGCTTCATTATCAGATGCTTTAGTATATTACCAGATATGTTAACAATTTGGCACTACGTGCCTTAACGCAGCGTTGGTCATGCAAAGACCAATAGACCAAATTACCATAGGGTCTTTTGGTCTAGATCATTTGGTTTATTCATAATTTGTTAATAGACCATTGAATGACTCAGGTCTATTGAAAAATCACGTGATTTTAAAATAAGTTTAGACCCAAGGTTTACCAAAAGTAAAACTAATACTCAACAA